AAACAAATCTGAGAGAGGTCCACATGTAGTACCTATATATGTAGTATCAAAGCAATTGGACTTGCGGTTTTTAACAAGAAGTCGAAAATATCACTTTTCACCAAAAAATGACAAAAATATTCACCAAAATTAGAGAATTAAAGATATCATTACAAAATGAACAAATCTGAGAGAGGTCCACATGTAGTACCTATATATGTAATATCAAAGCAATTGCACTTGCGGTTTTTAACAAGAAGTCGAAAATATCAGTTTTTACCAAAAATGACAAAAATATTCACCAAAATTAGAGAATTGAAGATATCATCACGAAATGAACAAATCTGAGAGAGGTCCACATGTAGTACCTATATATGTAATATCAAAGCAATTGCACTTGTGGTTTTTAACAAGAAGTCGAAAATATCAGTTTTTACCAAAAATGACAAAAATATTCACCAAAATTAGAGAATTAAAGATATCAACATGAAATGAACAAACCTAAGAGAGGTCTACCCAAGGTACATATACACCAAGTATCAAAGCATTTAGGCTTGTAGTTTTCAAGAAGAAGTCGAAAAAGTAAAACATTGACACGGACGACGGACGACGACGGACGACGACGACGGACAATCACTCATATGATAAGCTCCGCTCGACAAAGTCGACAGTGGAGCTAAAAATATATGGGTTGTGGGTTCACCTTTTAGTACTAAGGTGAAGGTTGGGGTGAGGGGTTCTCTAAACTTTCTAAAGTTCACTAAGTATAATTTAACCAACTTGCATCATTCTGAAAATAAGACATGATAGCCATAACGATTGCTTGAGTTCTACAAGATCAAGATATATTTTGTCACTACATGTTATATCAAGCAGAATAAATGCCCACATGATGTTACTGTTACTATATGCTTGGTTATAATTTGTATGAGAAAGATAGTTTTTTCCAAGAATCAAAGATGTTTGAAAAAAAAGTTCTAGATTCAATAGCCAAGTATGAAGAAGATTTATCACAAAATGTAAATAATATCTCCGTAAAGGATGAACAAATAAATAAAATAATATCAGATCTCAAGAATAATAAAGCTGCAGGGCCAGATGAAATCACCCATGAAATCATCAAAGGTGGTGGCAAAGTAGTGACAGACTCATTAAAATTGATGTTTAATATGTGTCTCCACCTTGAGGTTGTCCCTGTAGATTGGGG